CTGTGTGAGACAATTCTGAAGCTCTTTGAGACCAATACCAAAATACGAGCAATACCTCAGAAACGCCGTGAAAGTCCTGAAACCCTTCTCAAACTAAAGCAACATGAACTTAACTTGTCAAAAACATTCAGCTTTGGCCTGTCTCAGCTGAGATTACCCTGAAAAATCCTAAAGATGCTAAATCCCTACAGTCAATGAAAACTGACTGTGTGGCCACTTTTGAAATCGTTAACACCATTCTCTTCAAGAAGCAGTAGAGAACACTAAAGGGCAAGGCAGAAGAAAGCAAGTATCGTGGAGTACCAAAGCAGTGATGAAAATGTTGGTTTCGACAGTGACACATTCTGCAAAATGGTGTGACCAGTGGCGTATCTAGCAGTATTAAAATGGGGGGCTGGTGGGTGTGCGCGACCAAAATATGAGGGGACGTGGAATTTATTTTCGTTGGCCACGCCCACTGAAAAATATTGCTTCTTAGATTCCTGAATACACGTTAACCGTGACAGATATGTTAAAGTATATCTCTTGAACGCAGTATTTGATGTGTTTTGATGAACGTCAATAATGGGAAGTTGAGAAAGCATTAACCCATTTTCTTGAGCATAAGCCTCCAGCTAGACAGACAGTGAACAACGAGACAGAGACATCAACCACTGATGTTCCCGCATCCAAGAGAAAGCACAGAGTAGAGCGCACAGGAACAGCTGCTTTCATCCCACACAACATACTACAGTCTCCAGCTTATGCCTCTTGCTACACGGATGAAAATGACGCCGACCCAACAGGCTGCTTACACCAAAGCCCTTATTGAAGAAGCTGGGGGGTGGGGGCCATTCATCAAAAGTTTCTACCTCCTATTCAGTGGCTGACAAATCACGAAGGACAATCGGAAGACAGATAGCCCAAGACCGTCAGAACAGTTACATCTCTTCACTGGGACGGTAATAATAATAATAATAATAAGCAGATGCAGTCTCTAACCAACAAGTATGATATCGATGAGCACCTAATAATCTGGTTCTCTACCAGAACCTGCTCAAGTATCAGCGAGTAAATCAGGTTGTAGCCAAAAGTGCTATGAAGGCCTTGAATAGACACTTACGGGACTTGACAGCCGAGCTAGTACCGCTTGCTCTGTTTAGCAGTAAGGTCCCGTCCTTACTCCTGGACACAAAACCAGAAACAGGGTGTGATACCCCTCGTCACAGGTATGGAACGGGAGGTTTGGAAAACCACAATTTCCTGTGCAAGTCAGCCTCCAATCCAAACTTGCCGATTTCGTGACTGAAGACTCATGGTTCTTCTTCAGCAGATTGCAGCTGAATTTCCTCCACATTGACGTTGCGGCATTGCCAGAAGCAGAATCATTCAATATATCTCTGGCCAATGTTAAAGCGATGAATGACATCAATGATGCTGCAGAACGTGGGGTGAAATTGAGTTGTGACTTTCTGGCATCAGCTCGCACAGAAAAACACTATCAAGACGTCTTCCAAGTGGTGGAAGCGGAGCGCATTAACCTCAACTACTGATGCATGATGACATTGCTATGCCAAACTAGTTTCAGTTAATAAATAAGCAGCATTTATTAGCTTGCTCGATTTCTTTCTTTTGAAAGCGATTTCACAATTTCAGTCATTCATACACTTATATCACTGAATATTCAGAGCTTTGGTGGACCCATTAAACTTGTTCATATCCATGTGAAATTTACAACGTTGCATTGGATTGCAATATGAACAAAATCAGTCAAGGGACAGAGGCATACTGTATCTTTTTATAAAATCAGGGGCATGGTGTGCACACTAACCTAATATATATATATATATAGTATCTGTCTCTTATA